CAGCACGACTCTTCGATCCTGATCATGTAGCGTATAGTGCTGAAGAGGTTTCATTGTGATCAATGATCTGTAAGATCGATCGAGCGTATAAATTGTTGAAAAAATTTTTTTTTCACTCTGTTGATTGAAAACCCTCTGGTTTTCAATTACTTTTTATACCGATGAAAATCCACGAAGAATCAAAGAGTATTGATGTTTTGAGAGTATTGACTTTTCGAGATGCTTATAATCCATTAAAAATAATCGAACGATCTTTCTTGCATTGCTTAGTTATTATTTTCTCAGTTACACTCATTTAAATATGTATTTCCATTGAAATATAAATGAACTAAAATATCAAACGGTACTTAATAAACAAATTTTTTTTTAAATGCACACCGATTATTGAACAATTTCATTAATCATATTTCCAAATTTCACCCAATTGGTGTGTACCTTAAAATTTTTTTAACCCAAACATTGTTGCGTATAGGTACACCATGCAAGTTGGGAAAAAAAAAAAAAAAAAATCAACAGTGTTCTTCGCCTAGCCATGATAATCCGAGATCCGCGATTAATCCTTCCTCGCACGCACATACACGGTGTGTGGGTGGAAACTAGTTAAGGGTCCCGTAAAAACCGAGAGTACACGTGGCACGGAGGGTTCCGTAGTATCAATAAATCGCCCAAGAAGCCCTCGTAGCGCGAAGAGGCGGCGTTTAGGATTTCACGCGTCCCTCGGAACAACTTTGAAGGCGCACTGCAGCGCATAAGTTGGAAACTAATAAGCAGCCGCGACGCGACAGCCACACGAGCGCGACCGATAGTACCAGCTCGCGCAGGCTGCCGTCGCTTGCTACCTTATAATATGACAACGGCAACGGGACACCGATTACGCCATACCTGCTGATCGCCCCCCCCCCCCCTCGTACTCGACAAGCTCAAAGTGCCCAACTTCCTGCGCGAGCTGTCTCACGAGCACGTATATAGGTACACCCCCCCCCCTGGATTCAACAGCCATACTTGGCTCCCAGCTTTTCTGCATTTATATCCTTGATGCTCCCTGTGAACCGTATAACAACCCCCCCCCCACCTCCTCTCAGAGAGAAAGGGAGAAAAAAAAATCGACACCGAACATGACGGACCAATAGCTCCAAAACGATCAGCTGCCTCGGAGTATATCTTTATTTTGGTCCCCCCTCTCTCAAAAAGCTCTGGCCAAATAATTGACGTGCCGGTGGCGCACAAGCCAAAAGTCGTTGCACACGGTTATTACCCGTACAGAGGAGACAGGGGTGTAGGTGGTAGGTGGGGTAGCGAAATTCCGGAAAAAGCGCGAGAGCAGGAAATTGGAGCGGCCGAGTGAATTTAGCGTTTGACAGGGAGTCGGGACAGCTGGTAAATTTAGTCCGGGGGTCTCGAGAGCGCTAGCCAATAGAGCGGCGATGGGAAGACAGGGGCACCTGGGGGGGTTGGGGGCATAATTTAGTGGACAGTTTGATATACAAACAATCTTTAATGAAATTCTTGGTGTTCATTAATAACGCATTACAAGCGTGTACCTACGTGTGTTGTGTGTAGTGTACGCATATATAGATACACACAAAGGGGGACCCGCGCGCTCTGATACATGTAGGTGATGCAGACACATCGAGCCGCCTTTGTAATTCCAGCACGGCCTTTGGCTGGTACGCGTGTACATGGTATATAGACACGAAATAGGCAGAGAGAGAGAGAGAGTACACAGCTTCTCTCTGCTCAACATTGGGCGTGCTATACCCGGACCACGCAATTGCTCCCGTGCCACGCTCGTGTATGTATATGCTGGTGCAGATTCCGAAACTGCATTGGAGATTCGGCTGCCGGCTGGATCGAGCTGAATTTATATTGGGTGCAGGGGTCGTAGATACATGGGATCGGGTGCCGAGAGAGAAGCACCTCGTAATTTATCGGATGTATTACTTGCACCTATGTACTCGCGTGTGTGTGTGTGTATGCTGAATACTGCATTCTTGCCGAAATACCGCTGGTTTCTTTCGCGCGTTGCGAAAACGAACATCAATCTTACCGATTTTGCATCGCTTGTCCCTCCGGTAACTCTCTACGTTCAAGTGTTTCATTGAAATTTTGTACGGTAGCGATGGTTATCGAGCAAGATTTTTGATGAACAACCAAATAACACCAGGTGTCCACAATCTACTTAATCGCGTCGATTTATTGTTTAAGAGAAGAAAAAAAAAAAAAAAAAAAATGTTCTAGTCGGGTAGGACTGATGGAACGATTGATGACCGATCAATGATCAACTGCACCCTTCAAACGCGACACACGTGGATCTGTAGAGTATACAAATCGAAATGTTGAAACTTTCGCTCACATAGGATTACACACATTTCCATCCCAATAATATTTATAAAATTGTTTGAAAAAATTGTTCATCGCTATTGCGTGTGAGAAAGGAAGGAAAGACTGTAATAATAATAATAATAATTCACGCGCTCCACAAGAGACGAGCAGACCCAGCTTTTATTCCCGCTCGGGCGTCTGAATAAACACACCCAACCCTCGTACGTGTAATACATGTGTATTATATACATATATACGCTCTTTCTCCTCGTCCCACGCGTCGTCGTATCCAGGGGATTCACCGGCGAAGCGAGCGTGAAATATCGCGGGCCGAAAGTAAGTTACGTCGTTTAGTATGATTTGAGAGCCGAGAGCTAATGTGCTCTAATAACACGTGCTTATTTCACCGGCAGAGGACGACCATCAGCCGAAAATCTCGGCCCTTTTTTTTGCACCCATCCCCCTCCCAAATTACGTAATTCCTTACTGCGGCCTCATTGTCCTGCCCACACGTATGTACGTATATGGGTATGTATGCACGCGTGACCGGTATTCCATTGTCAATTGCTGTTTTACTCTCGCCTGTCTTTTCGTCTTTATGGGCGTAATGACCATCACTTCTCTGCATAACGAGGCAGAGTAATTTCATTTTAATAACTTTTTGTTTTAATACCTCGACGCGCTGCTTTCGTATATTTATATTGTCAAATGTAAAAACTTTCGATGAACAAGACGCGATGAGAGCAGCCCTTGAAATGATCGATTAGAAAATTTAAGCGTTAATATTGGGTATGAAAAAGGGGGGAATGTAGCGAATTTCGATTAAAAGCCAGGGGGTGCCATCAAGTACTAATAGCGACGATATATATACGTATACGGTATATTATACGCGCGCGAGACGATACAGAATTTTAATATAGTGCTTTACGAGAGGCGGACGATTGTCCGGCATTTTACAGCTCCCGCGATGGACCCGAAGAGTCATTTGAATTCTCGGATGTGCGTAACTCTATATATATGTACGCGTATACATACTTTGGAGAAATTGCTCTCGCGGCATACCTGCGCACGCGGTCGCTTATTTTCTCTCCATAACTATATATATTTAATACATTGTAGTAGGTGTATACGTATATACGTGTGTATTGCGAGAAAACGAGACGCGCGTCTATTATACAATATAATAATAAAAGTTCAGCGTGTGTATTTTGTTCCGAGAGGCGGAGTGTCGCGCGTATATGTACGGCTATTTCATTATCATAAAATGCCCGTTCTTCGATTCACTCGCCCATCGGTTCGCCGCTACCGTAGGGTAATATGGTACACTCGCGCGCGATCATCGTGGAATTTTTATACTCATTGCATTTTTCTCGCGCGTCCTCTCTCTTTTTTTTTTTTCTTCTTTACAATTGACTCCTTTGCGAAGCGGCTTCCGTCATTTTGATCCCCACGTTTCCTTCCCCCGCACGTATTTCACGCCTTATTTATCGGGTCGTAAAATTTTTATCGACCCCGTCGTAAAAATACTTTTTTCTCTATTTCCCTTGATTTTCATTTTATTAAACTTGCGGGTGTCTATGCTCATGATGTATGTAAGATCGTGAATTTAAATCGTAGTCCCTACAGCCACGTTTCATATTTAACAACTTTTTATTTTAGTCACGATTTTCATAATATATATCCCAGCGTTTATTTTATTTACACAATCTTATGATGATACAATATTAAATTTGGTATACTTGGAGCAGCTAATTTGGTACTTAAATTTAAAACACATAATGTATAATTTGCTTGCCTCCGAGAATGTAGAATTAAAAAAAAAGAAAGGTGATGTAACAAAAGTGTACGCGCACTGATGAAAAATTTAGAGGCGCTTCGCTTTTTTCGCTTCTCTTGCCATTATTCTGCCGTCCTCAAGTTTCGGCCTCGAGCGACGAATGTCTGGCCTAACGAAGCTTTCCCAGCATCAGCGGCGTGTACTGTGCAGGCTAACGCGAGGGGAGAAAGCTCGTTTCGTCATGAAGTAAAATTAAAAAAAAAAAAAAAAAAAAAAAAAAAAAAAAAAAAAAGCGCGTACCGTCGGGTCGATACGTTAATACATCGAGTGTAAGAGCGTGTAGGTACACGGGAAGCCTCCAACGCCGGTTCGTCCCGTTTTCTAATTTTTCCGGCGCCTCTCCTTATCGGGGGTTCACGAGCCCGCGGCTTCGAATCGAAGCACCGAATCCTTCGGTCTCCTCCTTCCGCCGCGAGGCCCCCCGAGCCAAATAATTACCCCGGCCGCTTATACACTCCGGATAACCGCGAGAGACTACTCCAACCCCCTTGTTTTTTCTCCCCCCCCCCACACCGCGTTCGCTCGGGTATAAGTAACGAGCACGTAAAAATGCCGCTTATCTCCAGCCAGCTTCTTTCCACGGAGTGTGGCCTCTACCGATCTTCCCCCTTTTTTTTTTTTTACCAGCCGCATGTACATTAATGAAGAATGTACAGCGAGGAAGGGACACTGTACCTTTCCGGTATTATTTCGGTTTTTTCGTTATAATTGCTTGGGTCGGAGGAGCGGAGATGTAATATTTTTATCGGGATTTTCGCGCGAGGAATAAAAAGTAGCTGTGAATTTTAGAAAAAATATGTTTAATGGAAAACTTTACTATACAGTAAACGTGCGCGCGAAGGATGCATTTTGGAATCAATTGCTGCTTTCGCAAGCGAGAAGCAAATCTTTTTCAAGCAGCGGCAGCAGCATCAGGCTTATTTTTAACTGGCTCAGTCTTTCTTTCATCGCCGTCGTCATCTGTTCTTTGATAGGAAACAAAAGAGACTCAGCCCAGCAGGTACATCTCGTAGAGCCTCCTGTCTTCTTCCGACGTGAAGGCCGGTACAAAGTTGATTTTGACGATCTCGGAGAAGCCTTCGTCCTGGCTCGGTGGTATGAAATTTTTTCTGTAAGATGTCGGAACAATGTTGGGAAAACGGATGGACAAGCTTATGTAGATGCGAAGGCACAACAAAATCAGCAACTGCATGAATCTAATGCAACGGCGAGCCAGCTCGAACTTTGGGTCGCTAATAATAAAAATTACTTACAAACGGCATTATCACGCAAGAACTATCTATAAGCTCTACGAAGCGATCCAACAACCACCGATTCCGAACTGGCCCATATACCTTTATGCTGTTTTTTTAAAATATTGTGCGAAAATTCCCATGCAGACTACATTTAGCATGTGCTTGTTATAGAAAATTTTTATCAACTTACATGAAACTGTTGATGAGCATGTCGCTTATCACTTGATGAGTAGGATCGGTTAATATTCGAAACTGCAAGTAAGATGAAAGTTGTTTGTTATCTTCACGGGTTTGAACTTTTTATTTGAAAAATAAAATTTTGTTTACTTACCATGTTGTTGTGTTTTATGTGTTCTTTATTTAAATTCATCATAAAGCATCTAACTGGAATGTTTCGTTTTTTTGCTACTTCGATGTATCTTTGTCTTGAAGTTTTATCAGGATTCGTGTTATCAACTACAACGCTCTTTCCATCTTCTAGGAATTCTTCAGTTTTTGCTATACACTTTTGCCAACTGCCAAGTGAATCTCTATTCACATAGCAGTAATTTTTCAAATGCGTTCTTGCAAAGTGTGATTTACCAGAGCCTTGACATCCAACCATAATTACCAGCTAACAAAATTAAAAACTCAATTGAATTTTAATCATTTGAATATTGAAAAAAAATGATATCCATTTACCTCTTGCATATCTGACATGATTTTTGTATTTGGAGGTTCATGGAGAACGGTATTTTTACTCGCTTCTTTTGGATGAAAGGATGGAGAATTGAAAGGTGCTTTTTTGTGCCCTAAAAAGTGTTCCTCAGGAGTGGAAAAAGTTAAATTTAAATTTAGTGCCATTAGCCTATCAACCAAGGAATGATCTTTTTTTTTTCTCGATGAATCAGCTGGTCTGCCTGCAGCATCACCTACATAAAATGAATTTTCTTTCTCGACAGGTACACCATCATTTTTCTCATTAACCAAGTGGGTCCACATTCCAACACGTGGCTTTCTGTAAATACTCTGTCCAACAGCAAGAAAAACCTTGAAAAATATGAAACTTGGTCAAGATAAATCACTAAAAATTTTTCAGGATTTTCATCACATGTAATATAATAAAGACCTGCATGGGAACACCAATTTTTTTGACGATTCTTTCAATCTTGATTTTGAAATCTTTGAGTGTAACTTTTCCAGTTCCCAGACCATTTTGATTGGATAAAATTACAATTTTGTACCCTTCTGTGTAGAATTTCTTTAATTTACCCGGGACTTCAGGATAAAGCAGCTGCCAATCATTGGAATCTTTGGGAAATTCCAGACCAGATATCGTTTTAATCAAAGTCTTATCCATATCGTAAGCTGCTATCTTTCATACAAAAATATAAGCATTACATAAAACAGAACTCTAATTTCTAAAAAAAAACTTGATAAACACATCACTATCTTACTTTTGAGCGTCCTTCACATCCTGAGCTTGTGTAAACGTAAAGTGTGTTGTTACCAAAAGTTTCCCAGATACCTTCTTTTGTTGAGTTCCCAGACTTGGTATTACTATCCGCAGAGCTAGTACTAGCCATGCACAAATTTTCCTCATCATTCGTTGCCATCACCTTGGCTTTCTTTAAATTGTTGCCAGTTTTGCTGTCATCCTCTTCTTCATCAGACTCTTGCGAAAGCAATCTTTTTGTCAACTTGGGCTTTTCACTCTTTGTTTTGATCTTGGTTGGGGGATTAAATTCTATTCTGTATGGGTATTTGCCATAGAGAATTTCCAAACGATCCCCATGCTGAGCAATCATTCGGACTCCCCTTTCTGTTTTAAAGCCACTCAGACAACAAGGACGTTTCCCCACTTGTTCGACAAAAACTTTTCTATCTTTGTAGCTGGCATACAGACTAACTGTGATCAAGCAATACACGAAACGTTAAAGTGAAAGAAAAGAAAACACAAGTAGAGGAAAATAAACACATTTAAAAATGTCAGAAAACATGCGAGGTTATGTCATCTCTTAAAGTATTATCTAACGGCTTGTAAGAGTAAAATAAAAATCAGGGCAACAAAAAACGGACGGATAGATATCGATCGGTGAAAGTTTCGCACGCTTGCGTGCAAGAGAGAAAGAACGGCATAGCTGATAAACAACGAAAAGAAAAAAAAAAAACTAACCATGTTGCCGGGAACACTGGAGATCTTCGATCTTCGTGTCGGCGCTCCTGCCAACGAACACCTCCTCCTTGTCGGGCAGATAGACGGACGAGTACTTCTTATCCTCGCTGTAGATGTAACAACTATCCACTTGGGACGTCATTTTCCGGAGCACCTCTTCCTCGCGCGCGTTCAATGTGACGTGAGACTAGCAGACACACTTGCACGCGCTTTCTATACAAACTCTTTCACCGCTCGCACTCTGATGACTATCCTAAACTAAACAGACCTCAATCGCCTATTGCTATATTGCTATATATACAGGTGTACCATAATACCTGTTTCTACTTGCACGTAACGGGCAACGGGCATGGGTCGTTGACCGGTTTTAACGCGTAACACCGTGTGCAATGGTCACGGATCATGATTAGCTTGGCCTAATAAGTGCATAACTTCTTCTTTTTTTCGGATAAGTAATACATGTCAACTTGTTATTTATTTTGGATAAAAAATATTATACCCACTGGTCTAGATCACTTTAGTACCACTGATAATGTACTTGATGGTAGCGGTTTTTCTATCGTCAGCTTAGCTCCATGTAATGGATTACATAACAATTTGCAATCAAAAAATTGTACAAGTGAAATGGCAAAAACAAAGTAAATTTCTATGCATCGAACATGACAGCGAAAATAAGCGAGAGGCCGAAAAATCGGTAAGGGGATACTCGTAAAAAGAGCATCGTTGACAGACGACTTTAGAGTGTCGGTGCATTAAAAATGAAGGCGCGTCTCTCTCGGGGGGGCGCCAAAGCAAAAACAGAAAAGCACGAGTGCCGGAACATTAACAGGAACGAATGATGATGATGATGTATTTATATAAACACGAGGTACATTGGCGTCATATTATACCTATAGATACAAGTTTTGATTTTAAAGGGTCTCGACAGCAGCAGGACAAGAGGAAAAAGAGCCAAGTACCCGGTAGCTCTGTCTCTCGACTCTCCATCACCACCCTCCTCCTCGTCTTTTCCTCGCGGATGTTATAAGCCCCGGAGAAAGAGCAAGGAACGAAAATGATAATGCCCCCCTTCTGTCCTTTGGTTCGGAGAGTTGTTCTTCTCTCTCGGCAGTGTATATATACAGTCAGTGTGAACGGACGCGTTCGCCTTATCCTCTCGTTTTTTTTTTTTTCCTCCTCCACCCCCTCTCTTTTAATTTCTTCAAAGAGCCACTACACAGAGCTTGGCTCCAGATTAATAAACTCGCCCTGTTTTTTCTCTTCCTTTGCCATCGTCACCCCCCCACCCCCACCCCTGCATTGTGTATATATATATATTCACACAGGCGGCCCTGATTTCCTTTTATTTTCACTCCCTCTTGTCGACAAGAGAATACAAGTGGATGTTAGTAAATGAGAGGGCGCGCGAGAACTTGGGTACTGCTGGTGTTTTTTTTTCATCCGTACTATTTTAAACACATCACCCTTGATTTTTTTAAGTCTCGATCTTTTTTTTTTTGTTCCATGTGCTTGCAGAGTTTGATGCCCATCGACCCACCGATCTTCGAAGTGACCGACCTGACGATCAACGAAACCGTGACGCAACTGGCCCTCTGGGGTCATTTGGGCATCGTCGTCGTCGAGCTACCCAAGCGCTGGGGTAAGGATGCCAAATTCCAGGGCGGCAAAGATGTCATCTCCTGCCTGTGAGTACACATTACATACGATCCCGTCAGTATATGCACTTGCAATAACAGTTTCGGCTCTTCGGGGGTAAAATCGCGCGACTTCTTCTTACGCGTATAGAAGAGGGCGCGCGGGCGTCGACTGCTAATATCCGGTAATTAAGTGGCTGCAAGGGGTGGGGGGGCCTCTCTTATGGAATTAAGGTGGCTTTGGCTCTCGCCCGCGCGTTACTTTCGAAAAGTTACAAGGAGGAGCCCTTCCTCCTCCGCGGGGCTGCATACTAACCGCCTCATCAACAACACATGACACCCCCCCGCCCTCCCCCGCGTATATATGTATTAGAGCCGGTCTGCGGGATCCGAAATCTCGCGGCCAATTTTACAACTACGCCGGCTTATCGGCGCACGTATGCGTGATATCAAGGGGTATTATCTCGCGTGCCCCGCTGTCGCACGTACATTTCGGGAGGATGGAAACTTTCCGCGGCGATGGATTTCGAATTTTTCAAACTTTGGTCTCTGCTGATACTGAGACGCATTTTTGCAACTTCAACTCAAACAATTGTTTATTACATCTACATGTACAGGCTTGAGTATATTGTGTAGACTGGAGGAGATTCAATGACTTTCCTCAAATGCAGAGACATCAGTGAAACTTTTAACAATAATTTGATATTTTTTATCAATGAAAAACTGTGACGTGAATGTCCTCAATAACTTGTATCAAGAGTTGAAATTTCATCAATAATAATATTTTTGTTTTAAAAATAGTTAAGAAATTCACGCGGTTTGTTGGCGCTCTGAATAGTTTTTATTAAAAGTTTAACTGCTTCCTCTGCATTTTTAAAGAATCATTCAACTTTCAAAAAAGAGAGAAATTTTTTTTTTTTTTTCCTAAACACTAGTTTTGCTGAAAAATGTTTTTCCACCATGACGCATTAAATTTTCAGCGAAAACCCGAAAAAGCATCCGTACCCAGGTCCATACCACTTATCTTTCCCCCGCGAAGCCCCCATCCACGGGAACAAAAAACAGAGCACGCGAATTATTTTCCGTGTCGTTTTATCGAAATGAATTTTCGACAAAACAGCACTCGCAGCTCTTGGCAGGAAAAAGAAAGAAACAAACCCATCCTCGTATACCATCCGCACCATGCACCCGGTGTATGCATATATACACGTAACAAGAGAAATTTACATAGCCCCGCGCGACCCCCGCGATTAATAAACATATTTCGTCCGCCGCTCTCTCGCTGCAAGTGGCAAAGTTTCGAGCTCTCTCTCTCGCGCGGGAGATTATTTATATAAGAAGAGCACGAGCTCGCGCCCGACACTTTTTATACTCTCTCGCGTCCTTAATACTAAATACGACGGCGAGGCAACGTCTGGGATTTATACGCGTATACACGGCGATAGCACTCGCTACAAACGCCAACAGTTCGTAAGCAAGTTGCGGCCGTTACGACGAATCTTGGGGATTTAGGACGTTGCCGCTTGGAATATTATATAATACGTGTACGTGGTACAACCTATACATACGGATGGCTCCAACCCCTGAATAACACATAGCTAATGTTTGATTGTTTGCAAAAGATGGACGGGTCGCGCGTTGTAATAAACCTATGCGAAAAAAAAAAGAAGGAAAACGGAGTCGCGAGAGCCGGAGAAAGAGTAGGTATATAAGTCGCCGTGGACGAGAGGGGATTAAGTAAATGGCGGCAATAATGGCGATTATTCGGATTATGATATCAGAGGAAAAAGGAGGGGGGGGGGTCGGGCACGGAGCGCGTTAACTGCGGCCGCCGCGGCAAATCCAGCCGACCTCAAGACACCGGATTAAAACTATTGCACTCGCTGCTTCCTCTCGTGAAAGACACTCTTCCTCCTGTGTTCACATCTCCCTTTTTGCGGCATCGAAAAATTTTATCGCCCTCGAGTCCCCGTTTGCGCAAATCCTCGTCTATAATAATATAAAAGAGAAGAGCCGCGGACTTTGTTGGTATTTGCTCGCTAGTCGTATCTTATAATTACACTTTGACTCGATGAAATTCGGAGAGGTTGGGAGGGAAAGTTTAGAAGAATATCTTAGCCAAGTTGCTTCGTTTGGGTGGAAAGAGGGTACATAGCGTCGCGATTTCGGTGGAGCCGGTGCTAATTATTGTTTCGAGGATTAACTTGTGTATATGCGTTATGGGAATATTATGCAGCGCGGGGTATCTGGCTTTGCCGAGTGTTTGGCAAAATTTTAGCCTTTTCAGCTCTTCGCTCTACTCCCTCTACATAGGTCCATACGTATATACTCTGTTGTGGCGAATGGTACTTTTATTAAACTTTTCGTGCAAAGTATACTTTATTTTTTCATTTTTTTTTTTTTTTTTTTTTTTTTTTTTTTTTTTTTTTTTTTTTTTTTTTTTNGATTTTTTTTTTTTTTCATCCGAAAATTGTGACTGAATGGAATATTAACACGATTTTGAGTAAAACTTATATAACTTATTTTTAAATCGAATACACGAGCGTGGCTACGCTTATGTATTAATATTGATAATATTACGATTTTTTTTTTAATTGTAACTAAATTTTATGAAATCACACTTTTATGTATAAACACATGCAACTGAAAAACGTCAAATATTTTTAGAAATGGATTTTTATAGACTAACTTAAAAAAAAAGCTTTTTTTTAAATATTTATAAAAGTACCAAATATACCTTATACAATCAAACAATAATGAACAATTACTACTGTATTCAATTTTTTTTCACCCCCAAGCTAATTCAAAAAATTGCCACACGCGGTGAAATCGCTCGAAGCGCACACGTCCACGTATATATTATACTATGGTACAACAAACACATGTAAAACACCATGGATCACGACTCGCGAGATAAATTTTTCTCTCCATCGGGGCAAAACAAACCCGATGAACAACCGAGCCGGCGATCAAATAAATTTATTTGCAAAAAAAATCCATGCTTATCCGAGCAGCTGCAAGGGAGAAGGAAAAAGGCGCGTATCAGCGGGGAAAAATGAATTAACAGCCCAATGATGAAAAAAAAAAAGTACCCGTGACCACATAAAATGGCAAAAACGCAATGTGCATCGTTAGTGTTTGCTCGACGCGCGGTTCGAGTGAGGGGCGGAAAAAAAGTACCGTCGCTATAATTAATGGGAACGTAAGAGGCGATTAATCGCAGGGGCAGAGCCGGCCGCTATCAGCGCCCGTACTCTTTTACGCGCGGAGAGAAGAGGTTCGGGGAGGGTAGTTGTATATCCGTGCCCTCGAATATTTTTCGCCTATCGGACGCTATACCTCACGTGTACGCGTAACGTATGACTCGAGCTTTCCTTTATTGAAAAAAAAAAAAAAAAAAAAAAAAATGATTTAAATCGGCGCGCGACTTTTACACGCGTGATCCCGAACGTGTACAGGAGCCGAAGGCTAATCTCGGAGGAACAGGCGTTTTTAACGCGTGGTATGTGTATACCGTACTTGCCACCCTCCTCGATTATAAATATTCGATGCACCACGTACGTTTTTGTACACCTCAGCCTCTCTTGGTTCTACGATGATCAAATACCGACGCGATCAGCGAAATTTATAGTACGTCGATGCCTTTTTTTTTTTTTTTCTTTTTTTATCGATTAACGAGTCGTGCACTTCCTACACCCTGCAACATTTTCATAATACAGATATACTTATTCATCAAAGATGCAAAGGGTTGTGTAGATTAGCGCCGAGGACGTCGATCGTCTCCATATTTCTTCTTAAAATACACGTGATGGCGTATAACAAAGATAGAAAAAAAAAAATTCAGGAATAGGTTTGAGGTGAAGGAAAATGCCAGTTTCGAGAAGATGAGCTCCGGCGATACCTCGGCACGTAAGAGGGAGGGAAGAGGAAAAATTGTCTGATTTCCATACGCGAAGATCGAGGGCTCGATAACCGTGTACGAATCACACAATACGTCAGTTTACCCGGACGCTTGGGACCATAATCTATATATATATATATACGAAGAAAATGGCCAGTCTGACTCTTGAGAGTAAGCAGATAAAATAAAATAAGAAAAATAAACAGCAAGAGGTGGGTAGGGTACATACAGACGGGATGATCGATCGAAGTGTCCGGTGTCCCCTTTCGGAAGAGAAATCGAGGGTCGTCTACACACCCCTGCAATTTCGTCGATGTTATGTAGAGGGCCCGCGGGCGAGCTTTTATATACATATATATTATGTAGGTGCGCGTATATATAATAAGGAAGCAACTTGACGTGCAAAAGAAGACAGTCGTCGTCGATGCCTCGAGGGGGTTGTTTATACCGTCTGTATGTATGTATACGTGTATTATGTAACAAAACTGCTACGGCTATCGAGCCTATTATACGTGTTACGGACGAGAGATAAGCTTCGGGTATTTCGGAGCGACAGCGTGAATAAATTATATTCGGAGCCGCAAAAGGTCCGTGGCGTGGAAAAAAAAAAAAGTATAGAAAAGTGTCATTTCTCCTCGCGTCGCGCTAATCAAAGAATCGCGGGAGAAAGAACAGAAGGGGGTATACTATGTACACGCGCGCTCGCGTAAAGCCAAGGGAGGGTGGAGCGCCTTTGTCGGTGTAACTTTTGTAATAACCACGTCGCGTTACCATACGTGACGTCGACCATCCATGGGTGTCTCCTCGGTGGATGGCCCGTTTTCTCGTCACGTTCCTCCGCGCGCTTCGGGCGACCCTCGACGAGAAGAACAAGAGCCCCGCGCGTACCTATACCATAGAAAATATATAAAGCCAACGTATTATATATACAGTACAACATCGGGGAGGATATATATATTATATAATATAACTATATTCTATATCTGGCTCGGGAGGAGGGGCCAAGAATTAACGGGCTTAGTTGGCGGGCGCGCAGGTGTCGCGGGAAGTAAGTATACACGCGGAGCGGCGTACCGGAAAAGGGCGATGAATCACCGCGGCTCGCGGGGAGAGAAAGAGATATGCTCGTTATATTTCGCGCAACATCCTGATTTTATGGGCATTGTACACCCCTCCAGCCTGACCTTCCTTACGTATACTTATTATTCTCGGGTGAGCCAGACCTCGGAAAATGCTTCGCAATTTTTCCCCAATTACGATATGCCGCTCGCCAGGCCACGAGCGTATTTATAATCTATTATGCAAAAAAAAAAAAAAAAAAAAAACGCGTACATTAGATCACGTGGAGATGCGAACGGAAAGAAGAGGCCGAGATGAGAGGAAAAGATGTCGAGAGGACGATTGCGATTATCCCGAGCGCCACGGTCCATTTACCCCGTCCGCCGAGTCATATTTCTAATTACTTTTCCAACTATGGGACCACGTTCTTATATAGGAGAGGAGCAAAAAAAAAGGGGGGGGGGCTCCTCACCGCGAGATAAAGAAGACGTCGTACACGGGCAAGGGAAACCACGAGGAATCGGGGGGGAGGAAGTTTTCGAGTACATCTCTCGATTAATTAACAAAACGAAGGGAAAAATCATACGTCCGAACATGGAAATACTTGCGTCTTGGAGGGAGGGAAAAAAGCGCCATGGGCAAACGAATGCACTCGGAAAAAAGGCACGCAAGTCGAAATGAAAGAAATTTCAAAGGGCGCACGCTTTATTTTTTCTCTCTCTCGTACCCCGTATGAAGGCACCTGACGCGTATGTGGCCGCGTAAGAGAGTCCGGACAAAAGAATATTACAAGCAAGAATTCTTGGGGGGGGGGGGGCGAATTGTTTTTAATTTCCAGAGGGTAAAAGGAGGAAGGACTCGCACGGCCGGCGAAAACGGCTCGAGCTGGCGTAAGAATTTCTTAATTAGATCGGGGGCCGGAGGGGGGCCGTTTCCTTTTGTCCGAGCGTCTCCTCGGGTAAACGCGTGGACTTCCGCGCCTTTGACGCTTCTCCTCCTTCTAAAAAGTACACGCATGGCACACATGGCGCGCGCATGGGGGCTAACGATGATGATGATATTTGTAAAAAGGCCCGCGTCCCTCTGTCCGGTCTCCTCGTGCGCGAAGCTTAAATCGCATTCGTCTTTCAGGTCTCGTGCACCTATGCACGGCCTCGCGTATTAAATAATTCCGGGAGGTCGCTCCCGCCTCTAACGCTTTTTTTTCGCGGTAGGCACATGCTCTGATGAAAGCCAAAACCCAGCGCCCGTGTATAACGTACGTACTCGGCCATCCTTTTGTCCAATTTATTATTTTCCAGGAAATTATGTCGAGCGCAGAGCCACCCGGGACACGTAAGAGAGAGGAGATAGCAAATTTTATTGTCCGAGCGCCCCGTATCTCTCTCCCTGCAACTTGCGCCAAACTACCCTTTACGTGCGTGTACTCAAGGTTTGGTACCCCGGACGTACCCTCTGCCTTTCGCCCCTCTCTTTTTTGGGATTCAAATATGCCCACACCTGCGAGCTTGATTTTCGAACTTTTCGCCCAAAAGGAAATGGCAAAAGGCAAAGGGAAAAAAAAAAAAAAATAACGCGAAAGGGAAGGATGCCAAGCGCGTGTGTGTATAAATTTTGATAATTCCGGAATTGTGACGGGACGAAGAGAAATTAGCGACATAGAGAGTGGGGGAAAGTGCGAATAAATCGCGACCTCGGTGTCAACTCTTGCGCGCGCGACGGAGAAAAAACGACGACGATAGTCGCAACGGGGGCTATATTTCGGGGCTCTCTCTCTCTCTCGCGCGTGTGCATACATTTTTATCAATTATTAAGAACCCGCGGCAGGCGGGTCCCCTCCCGTATAACGGCGTGTATACGCGCCATACCCTCTTCTTTTTGTCCTTTTTCTCCTCTTCCATCTTCTTTCGCGGGTCGCCCTTTCGAGAGGCATGAACAACAACAACAACAACAACAACAACGGAGGCTCGTGCGTGCCGGGGACATTAATAACCACCAACACCAACAACGACAAAGCACCACCACCCCCTTCCCTCCTGTCCTCCGTAAGCACGAGTAATAATAAAATATACCCCGTCGGTGCTCTCCCAGGGCTGCATCGCGCGCGCGTGTGTGTATATGCACCGTATTTGCAGGCCACCACCCCCCCATGCTCCTCTGGCGCAGCGCGGATAATACGTCCTATGGCCCACCTATGCGTACACGGATAAGACGGATGACTGAGATTTTTCAAAACAACGCACCCGCACCGCGCTATTTTACGCGCTCCACCCCTTGCTATTTTTTTTTTTTTTTTTTTTTTCATGCATACGAAGGGTGAGGGCGGGTGGTAATTAACGAAACAACGTGTCCGCGATCGAGCCCGAGATTCCGCAGGTACAGGGCGCGAGAGTCGTACAAACATCAAAGAACGTCCAAAAAAGCTCCTCCGAGCCGGTGAGTCGCGAGTCGGGGGAAGCTTCGCGGTTACCGGCGTTTTGTTTAAAATTCCGTCCCTCTCTCCTTCTCTCTCGCAGGTCGTACGTGGAATTTAAATAGTTGTCGGGCGCGACGTCTCACGTCAACTCTCCTACCCCCCGTACATGTACGAAAAGCAACGCGGCATCTGTCCGCTTCTTTTTCCCGGGGCAACAACAACAACAGCAACTTGGGCCGCACTTGCTAACCAGTGCTTTTGTTCGCGTAGGAAAATTTTTTTAATTGCTCCCACACGTGTCTCCCCCTCTTCTTCTTTGGCTTTTTTGGGCACAAGTTGTACATACGACACGATGTTGCAGGAGTTACAACTTCGACGGGTGCTGTTCCCAGCTGGCGACGACGGAGATACGGAAGGTCCGCTGGCACCCCGGCTCGCTGACGGACTCCCACCTGGTCGTGCTCACGGCGGACAATGTTTTCCAGTGAATATAATCATAATTGGTTATTTATAATGGCGCGTCTATCGATTATTCACGCGCTGGTTGCTTTGTAGGTTGTACGAGTGCGAGTTGGGGGACAAGCCGGAGCTTGTGAGGAGCTGGAAGGTCGGGCCCTCGAATTCGTCGATGAGGATACCGAGTTTCGCGGCGCTCGGCGAAGCGGCCGTTGACTTTGACTTTGCCACGCCGGCTGCCGACCACAACGACAACGACGTGAGGACTACTTTTTTTTCTTTTTTCAATTTTGTTTAGTTTTACTGCTTGCGCCGGAGTATACTTTTAAAGTCGATTGTTGCGCCCAACAGATGGACGCCACGGACGCGTGGCGGCAGATCGAGTGGCCCATCCTGGTTCTTCGGGGCAACGGCGACGTCCTGCTGGTTCGCGGTAACGTCCTCATAGAGTACGTGTGTATACTTACCATGTATTTTAGAAGGAAAACATTTGCATTGTTGCGTTTACGACTGGAAATTGATGTTGAAATGGTTATTGATTTCAGTGACAACAAGCCCGTAGTTTTCGGCTCGCTCTCGATGTACCCTCCGGCCTTCGACAATTACGGTACCGATTCCTGCTCGATCCTGTGCCTCCAGACCACCCCTCCGCTCGTGGTCATAGCCTCGTGCTTGGGCAAGATATACCACGCAGTTTTGCTCACCGACAACACGGAGGAGGAGGAGGAAGAAAAAAAAGTGAGATCAACCGACACGTTGTTGTTATTATCATTGCCCATATGTTATGATACATATAATTTTGGATAATGGTCCCTTCAGACGTGGTCCCAGTACGGCTCGACGTACAGTCTTCACACGCCCGACGAGGCGCTCTTTGTGTTCGAGTCGATAGAAATGGAGCTCGGGCTCTTCTACGCGGACAAGGACAAAAAGTACTCGTGTCCCATTCACCTGCACGCCGATCGGGAAAACCGGTCGAGGTACGGTATATATACGTTTTGCAGTTGGCCCCTCGCTTCACGATACTTTTTTTTTTTTTTTTTTTTTTTTTTTTTTTTGAGGGATGAAAAATGGTTACAAGTCTTTTTCCAGGTACTTTTGTTCGCACAACGCTGGTATTCATCTCGTCAACGTTCCGATGGTGGGGCAACTCGACGACTACGTAGACGCCAGCGAAAGTACGATTGTGGCCATTTTATTTTTGATAAGCCATTGTTGGAATTCTTGAGTGTAACGATAAAACTAATAAATTTGCAGACAGCGTTGATTTGCACCTGCCCAAGTTCATGAAGGAGTCGAGCGCGCAGTACCTCGTGAGCACGCGCACAAAGTACACGAGCAAGGACGAGACGACGCCGATTCTCGGCTTCGGCCTGCTTCAGGAGCCCTGCGTCCTGATAGCCCTTCTGCACACTGGTGTGGTCGTCAACAAGTCGATCGTCGACCACTGCTACATCTCGAAAATCGAAGCGACCGCCCCCGTTACCAGCCCCAGCAAGAAGGTGAAGGTTTTTTTCCGTCTTAAGTTCAACTCGATCCAGTCCTTTTGTTGTTTCAACGGCATCCGTAGTATAATATGTATTTTCTTAGGTCACGAAAGAGCCCTTCGATACGCATGTGAAGAAACTACTGTTGAACAGGGAGGCGTCTCAACCGCTTACGATGCTTGGGTTACGGCAGAATATGTCGCCTCGCGAGTACTTGGAGTTGTTGTATCGGGCAACGTCGATTTTTCGTAAACAGCACTTTGTTCACCACGACAAGGTTCGGGAGGAATTCGCCAAAAAGGTGCGAACTTTGAAGGCTTTGAAGATACATCAGCTGAAGGAGCTTGAGTATCTGAGCGAGGAAAAAATGTGTTTGCAAAAGAAAGCCGAGAATTTGGCTGAGAAGTACGAGGATATCAAGGACAAGCAGGAGGAACTGGCGAAGAGGTAACTTTTTTTTCAGATCTTTCAAAGATCCGTGATTTTGAAAGTAAAATAACATTTTTTAGGGCAGAGGAGGTTCTTAGACTGGTACGTTTTAAAGAACCAAACATGAATCCTATGGAACGGGCTGAGGGTGAGAAGCTCAAACAAATGTCCGACAAAGTTAAGGATATGCGCGTTCGCATTGAACAGTTGAAGAAGAAAAAAACTACTTTCCTGGAATCGTTAAATCAAACCAATGTTACCGATGAAAACACTCAAATTGTCTTAAAGCCAGAGCAAGTTGAATTTTTCAAGGAGAGTCTGGCTCAAATGTGAGTTTTAAAAAAATCAATAGTCTGGGTACAAAACGTTGCTCAGTATTCAAATTATAATTTTTCGTTTTCAGGGGAAAAGACGTTGCTGAACTGATAACTCGCGCGAAAAACCTTCAAGACCAAGTGGGATTATAATTGCAGTGTTATTGTATTATTTTTTATAAAATCAATTAAACGAATATTTTTAAAAATTGCTTTTTTTCCTTAAAAAAAACCTTGTACATACCCAATTATTTTAGATCCCAATTTTCAGAAAATTATTCTGAAAAAGACACTGAAACCAAGATTATCAAAAAAATTTTATTGAAAACAAATTAAGAAACTACTTTAAAAAACTTGTAATCTCAAGAAGGTAATAAAGAAAATACACATACGGTAACGGTGTCAGTGTCGGAAAACTCCTGAAGATGTCGTTTGGCTGTTTTACAAACTGCGGAAACTGCGCGCGATAAGTGAAACAGTCAACAGTGTATTATTAATGTAGTTGGAAGATTTTTTGGGATGAAAAATGAATGTTCTTAAATTGAAAGATTTAAAAACTGTACCAGATATTTTACATGTTTATCCTGAAAACATCAAGACCGAAGAGACACCGCTAGTTATTGATAATGGTACGTAACCTTCAAAATTTGCAAGAAAAAGCAGTCTTCAAACATTAATCTTTAAACATTTTAGGATCATACAAATGCAGGGTCGGTTGGGCCACAGAAAAAGAGCCTCAGTTGGTGTTTAAAAACTTGATAGCCAAGCCTCGTAAAGAGCGAGGCAAAAAAGATGGAGACATTCAAGTTGGCAATGATATTACAAACATCGAAGCAATGCGTTTTCAGCTAAAAACACAGTTTGATAAAAATGTAGTTACTCACTACGAAGCTCAAGAACATGTGTATGATTATATCTTTTCGCATTTGAGTATCGATACAGAGGGCTGTGTCAATCATCCCATCATTCTTACGGAAGCCCTCTTGAATCCAAACTATTGTAGAAATTGTAAGGTGATTATTCTTTGCACGATATATTTGAGTTATAGCACGAAATGATGTCAATTTTAATATTTTTAGTAATGTCGGAGCTGTTATTTGAATGCTATTGTGTTCCCTCTGTTGCTTATGGAGTCGATTCTCTATTTTCTTACCAACACAACAACTGTCAGTCTGATGGCTTGATTATTAGCTTGGGATACCAAACAATCCATGTTATTCCAATTCTTGATGGAAAAGCCGATATGAGGCAAACCAAAAGAATAAATATAGGTGGCTTTCAATGTGTATATTATATGCACAAACTATTACAGTTGAAATATCCTGCACATTTCAATGCAATCACTTTGAGTCGCGCCGAGGTAAAACATTTTTTTTTAAATAAATGTTTTGTCTACCTAATTCATGTTAACAAGAAATTTAAATCAAACACAGGAGTTGATTCATGATCATTCAAGAATCGCTGTAGATTACAAAGAAGAAATTTCAAAATGGGCTGATGCAGAATATTATGACAATAATGTACTTAGGGTGCAATTACCATATGTAGCTCCACCAGTAAATCCAGGCCTCACAGTTGAACAACAAAAAGAAAGGAAACGCGAACTTGCTCGACGATTAATGGAAATTAATGCCCGAAAACGAGAAGAAAGGGTACATAGATTTAAATCAGATTTGAGTTTTTTAAATATTGCATTTCTCAATAACTCTAGCTCACATTTATTTCAGCTGGCGGAAGATGAAGAGCAATTAAATCAACTTTTAGCCGTTCAAGAACTTTTAGAAGAAGGAAGTACCGAAGAATTTAAAAAAGCTCTTCAAAGTCATTCACTCGCAACTAGAGCAGATTTGTTGAAAGCCATAAATAATTTACAAGCCAAAATAGAAAGGACAAAGCAGAAGATAGTCGCAGCTAATGCTCAGGAAGAGAACATTGCAGCGGACGAGCCAAAGCCAAAAGTCCTCAAGTCAAGCCTGCAGCCAAAAGATCAGCAAGACTTTAATGAATGGATAGCTGACATTAGGAAAAAGAGGTGATTGATTTAAGTAAAGCATCCTTAAAATCTTAACTTGATCCAAATTATTTTTTTTTTTTTTTTAGACAAGATATCTTAGAAAAGCGTGTGGCGAAACGACAACGTCGCCAGGATATGGCAAAGCGCAGAACAGCAGCTGGGCAAGAAAGAATGAGAATAATTAGTCAGCTGGCCAAAAAAGACAAAAGAGATGACGATTTTGGTATGCGAGACGAAGATTGGGACGTTTACAAAGTCATAAATAAAGTAAGGACTGTTAAATTTAATTAGTATTTTTTTTTCTTTACTCCAAATTCAAATTTTTTCGCTACCAGGAAGGAGGAGACTCGGATTCAGAAGCAGAGCAAGAAAGGCTCGTAGAGTTGGAAAACGTTCTGAGACAGCACGATCCCGAATTTGAAAACGCTGGAAATCAGAGCGTACAAATGGCACCTGGAGAAATGCACCAGTTACACATTGGCACAGAACAATTGAGAACACCCGAAGTAATCTTTCAGCCGTACATGATTGGCGTAAAACAGGGTGGATTAGCCGGGACCATCGAACACGTATTGAAACAATATACTCCCGAGGAACAAAATCGCCTCGTTAGTAATGTATTTTTAACTGGTGGCCCAGCTATTTTTCCAGGTTTAGCAGACCGATTGCACAAAGAGCTTCTTGAAATGAGGCCCTTCAAATCCAAATTTCAAATAAACATTGCGAGAAATCCCAGCCTAGACGCTTGGTATGGTGCCAGAGATTTTGCGTTGAATGGTAATTTGTCGGATTATCTAGTCACTCGCAAGGATTACGAGGAAAAAGGAGGAGAGTATTTCAAAGAACACTCTGCGAGTAATCCGTACTTTCCGTCTCCCGATCCTTTGCCGTCACAAGCGCCGCTCGTCGCGGAACAAGTCGACGACACAGTTGTTGACGTGGAAGTCGAATGAATCAATTTGTGTATTAATATCTGTACAAATTACTTTAATTTAAATTTTGTAAAGATCTTGCAATCACATAAGGACGAAATAAAAAGACGAGTCGTTGTATCTATGGATGTCTACTTTATTACACAATTGTTCCATTTATTCGCGACGCTTTGAACAAACTACATCGTAGTTTTTCGGCCAATTACAATATACATATAATCCTTTGATTCGTTAAATTGTTTTTTTTTTTTTTTTTTTTTTTTCTTTGTTGTTACGCTCGACAATCTAGAGATGAGCCTATTAATTAATCAATTTTTCTTATTTACGCGAGACCGCGCTGCGCGCAGAGACGCGCGTATACACATGCAGAACAGAATTTGTTAAGAGTGTGGCCTAAAAAAATACGAAAGTGATCCCTCACGCATGTAGCGTTAAGCCTGGCTACAGCGATCTCAGCAGAATAGCTCACCGACTTAGCTCCACAACTTAATCTAACATCACAATGTATACTGAAAAATATCATCGGGTGCCATTGTCACCGATCCTGTACAATCTATCTTGTATTCGGGAGCTGACAGATTTAACGCGGACAACCACTTTCGTTGTCACATTATATACTTAGCTCGTCCTTCAATTCGTAAAACTGCGCCAAATCAAAGGTGGCATCGACCCCACAACTATACTCGAACTACGCTCCGTCCATCATCTGTAGTTTAAAGAGATTTTGCTGCTGAAAATAATTTTTTTAGATTCGTACAAGCATCTAATACAAGCTGCGAGGTCGATCCTGTAAAAAAATTAATTTATGTTGCTCTCGTTTCTTATTGCAATTCAGCTTATACGAAGAGGCTTAATTGTTTTCTAGTGTCATATATAAACCTGGCCAAGTCGTGTAAATAAAATATACGGGTTTTTGTTTGTTAAAGTTGCAGTGTTATTTTTTTACTCAAACAGTTTTATCGATTTATGCTACTTTGACAGTGTCAGATTTTTCAAAATGAGAAAATTTAGATTAGGATTCAGAACTTTTTGGACTAAACGAAATAATGTCCATGTGTCGTAGAAAATACAGAATATTCTGTATTATTCAATGTGATTCTTAAAGAGAAAATTTTTTCATATGTTTAGATGTACTTTATGTATATTTGTTAGTAAAACAATAAAGAAAAGATATTTAAAAAAAAATACCGAGTCGTAAACGAATTCTTTGAGACGTAGTTCGTTTTAGCACAGGAAGTATACTAGCCTGTCTCATGAACTAGAGTGAAAAGCATCGCCAATCTTTGCTTGACGCATATTCAATATTTGACTTAATGTAACAAATCTTACAATTTAAATAATATTCTTTACAAATATCACAGTGTGAGATCGCTGCAGGCCAACCTTATGCTAGATTACTTTTAAAGCATTTATTTATTCATTTTATTCTCAATCTCTTCATTCTCTATCAACACACATTTCCTTCTTGCCTCGACTCACACAAAATTTGGTAGTCATCTTTAATAAAATCTTAGTTAAATCCAATTCAAAAGCAAAACACATTTATTTTTTGTTTATTTTATTTTCCAACGAGTCAATGTATCAAAAAGTGAGGGTATACTTTCTTTAATTGATAAAGCGTATTTTAATTAAAGTATACATAGCATTAGTATATTGTTCGTCATAATAGTCAATGTGATCGTAATTAGAATAATAATTATTAAAATAATTGTAATAATCTACAATCAATATAATGTAATAAGAATCAATAGTAATAATAATAATAATAATAATAATAATATAGTAATGACAAATAATTGTTATAACTGATAATTAGTACAACAATGGTTAATGTATTTTTTCTTATCTAAACTTATAATGGGAGATGTATTTATATTATACATATATATATATATATATGTTTCATATGTATATAATTTTTATGTGGGTGGGCGTAGGGTAAGTGACAGCTATGTACAGTACATACTTGCCTTACTTGTACCATCGTTATATGTATAATATGTACCTATGGTCTTATATAGTGTTAATTTTACGAATTATTGTTTACACATAAAATAGCCTATATAACATGTATGTATGTAGTAACTATAATAGTACGCAGTATTTTTTTCTTTCTCCATCTTTACGTTTAAGGATGTGTAATCAGCCAGGATATGTCGGTGAAAACTATGTACGTGTTCCTGTGTCCAAGCTTGGATCTCGCTTTTACTTTTTTATTTATTTTTTTTTTAATATTTTGTCAAAGTTTTTTTTTTTTTTTTTTCGTTCCATCATCATTCCCGCTTATCATTTATCAAATTGTTGCAACTGCTAATACAAAAGTGTCTTTTTTTATTATAATATTTTTCGGTGTCTTCGCACATTTCACTTTCGTGAGCACTGGTTTTTAGCGCTCACCATCGTCGTTTTCACTCTTTTTTTTCCATATATATTTTTTATTATTTATTCTGTTCTTTATTTTCCTATTATTTTCTATGAAAAACTTGTCTACAAAAATTCCATTATTCGCAGGCCTCTAAGACTTACGGTAGCTCGATAAAACCTCTATAAAAATAAGAACTATCTACTGCTACAGTACGCAGGTGAGAGTGAGGAAATGACGGAGGTAGTCGCAGCACCTATAACGCTTGCTTTGCGTTTGTCTTTACCACGCTTTTTCTTTTTTTTTTTTTTTTTTTTTTTTTTTTTTTTTTTTTTTTTTTTTTTTTTTTTTTTTTTTTTTTTTTTTTTCTTTAGTATCCTACTTTTGTAGTATCGGCTGTTCGGAATCGCGGACGTTTTCACGTATTAGATTGGAAATTTTTACATTTAACAATTTAGTGCCCAAAAAAGCTAAAAAATTTTCGAATCTTACCAACGACAAAAAAGTACAAGCTTTTCCTGCAACCTTGATATTCTGACTTTAGGTTGCAAAAAACCTAACTGAGAATTACCAAATTTTTCCATGTAAACTAAAATCCAAAACTAGTTGGGAAAGAAAAGCTCACGTTATACAGTTACAGGGATGTGAATGATTCGAAGACATTGAAAGATGATGAAGATGAGAATGAACTAGACGCTGTTAAAAAGTTTAAGGCACTAAGTAGGTACCGAGGCGCAATGCCTATAAGTTGGAGATTTTATTGTTAGCTTGCCCATTATGTTATAATTTTTTTTTTTTTCTAATTAAACGACGCGCAATGGAACTGTGGTCAGCGGATGAGCTTGTGGAAGCTTCGAAGCCGAAAGAAAAAAAGGCTCGGCTGCTGAAACTCGAGTCAGACGGCGGTGCTGCGTTATTTTTACTACGTCACTCTTCATTCAACATCAGATCAGCTCGAGCTGCGGGACAAAGAAAACCGAGCGAGTGTCATATGTTATCGATATTCGTATTGTTGTAATGTTGTAGCAGCAGCGGTGGCTGTTGCACAATAATTCGCATTCAATCAGAGCTTGATGAATTAGAATCGCTCGTCGAGCCGCTGCGACTTTGCACCTTCTTGTACAATTTTTCCAATACAAAAATGTAAGACGTACATGTTACACGTTACATACCGGAAGTACATGAAAAACGAGAAAACTTCAAGGCAACGTAACAAGCAACTTATCCACGTACTAAGTCGATGACGATTTTACACACCATCGTTTTTTCCTATTTACAATTTTTTGAAGTCACTAGACAAGTCGACTTCGTGCAATGAGCTCGAGAAGCCTTACGCGACGACGATGAGGACAAAAAATGCAACAAAAGCTCTGTGAACCCCACAATTAACAGACAAACGATACGGCAGTGCTCTCGTCAGTTGTCATCCGCGACGGTTGATGCCGAATACAATATCGAATGATGATGCACGTGCAAAGGGGTGGCAAACGACAAAGAGAGAGATATATATATAAAACACGTTACGCTATAGATAACGCAGATTCGCGCTCTTACAAAAACAGTAATTTAGTGGAAGATTATGTTACTCTCAAAAGAGCTTCGAAGTAAAGAAGATGGAGTCATTTCTCTCGACAAGTCACCACCACCATCAGCACGATCATTTATTCAAAAGTCGGGGTAGCCACTACCACCTCTTCGTCATTTCGTCATTCTCTACCTTCATTATAATATAACAAATAATAACAAATTTTTATGATTTTGCACATTTATAAAAATATATCAGCGTTCCACTTCGGCTCTGTACTTGTGAGTCTGTGTCTAAAATGATGCTAAGCCTTGCAAAGTTTGTGTTAAAAAAAAAAAAAAAAAAAAAAAAACCACGATTAAACTAATGATTATTACAATAACGATCAGTATGCAACAGTCCTGTGATCGAGACATTCTCATCGCTAACAAACTTATCAGATAGTAGTCTATTAGATATTCCCATCAACGTTACGTTATTTGTTCATTTTCATGCCTTATTTCGCTCACTCGTTTTCTCATTCTATATTTCACAGTGAGGGTCGCTAGTTTGCAGAGAAGTAAGTACGCCTACGCACGCGAGACTATCAGAGAAAGGCCTCTTCTGCTCTACGACTTTTGTGCCTCTAAAAAAAGAAAAAATGATAAATAAAAGTCATATCCTTCATATTTATCATTGCCGTTGTTGTCTCGACAAAAAAATACAAAGCAAACGCGATACACTACGGGTGATTTTACAGAAAGGATAGGGGGTAATAGCGAAACAGCAGTTTGGTAGGTGAGTGTATAAATGAAAAAATAACGCAATAAACGAGTGCTAGAAGTAATAATGGTATATGTATGTATAAATATATGTAAAAAAAAAAAAAAAAAAAAAAAAAATGGAGGCACTAAATATACTCGATTCGCTTAAATACGGGTGTGTCTGAACTGTGCGAGTAACTTTGATCAACCCAAAGAAAAAGCATGAGCTTATACGTACGCGTAAAGCACAGCGTTATTATTCTCTTTCGCGATACATATACAAACTCGAAAAATTACGAGCGTTATTTTTTTCATTACGGATACATATTTATAGATACGCGCGAGCACAACTTGAAGTATGCTACGAATTTTGCGTTAATTTTGTTTTCACTTAATGTTCTATGGAAATAACGATTGGCTTGATTCTTTTTTTTTATTATTTGTATTACGTATTTCTTCAACTATGGTATTATGAATATCTCGTTTTCAATAAACCATACGGATCTTATTATTAATCGTCACAATGTTAGGAGTGTGGGAGTAGTTGGGTCTGCTTGAGTCATTGAATAGTTGCAGAACTTTCATTCACGCATTCTTTCTTTCTTTTTAGGATGTATAAGTTGAACGGAACGTTCGCATCGTCTGTGATTGCAATAAATTTTGATCGTAATAGTTGAACATTAGGCTTTCTGTAACATAATGAACTATTACATTAAATTTATGATTTACAATAGTTCAAAAGACATCTATTCATCGTTATAATGGCGTAGTGAGCAAAGTTTACGGAAACGAAGCGACGGAATTGAACAGAATTTCGGAACAAAGTATAAAATCATTGTCTAAAGTCTGAAGCATTTATAATAACCGGCAACTCATGAGCTTGATTAAAATCTTTTAAACAATTTTTCGCTTCATTATTGTTATTTTGGAATTGAGTAGCAAAAAAGTCCTGGGACACTTACCGTTATCAAATTAAATAGATACAGGCCCAAGTTAATTTTCGTTATGATGATCGATTACGTCGTTTCCGTGGCATGGCATTTACAAACTTTCTTATTTATCTTTCCAATTATTTGTTATATATTGTTTATCTTTTCAATCTTTTTTATGATTTGTTTGCTGCTTTTGGTTATCAAATCGAAATAGTTAAACCAATATTCAAACTCTTATAGACGATAATTACTACCTATATCACAGATCCAAGTGACTAAAACTCCTTTAAAAATATAAAATATAAATAAGTGTGATGTCTGCGATGTCGTGTGTATGCATATGTTTGTAAAGTCGCGCCCGGAGAAGATACATANGACGCGATGGTTCGGCGATGTGTGTAATGAGGAAAGAAGAAAGTTAAAGAAAAAAGAAAAAAAAAACGGGAAAGAGCAGAGGAGGCAGAAAGGAAGAAGGAGAACGGTGAACGAGAAGAAAACAGCGGCGAGGGCAGGTGCTCTATACGCACCGACACTACCACGTGTGGATGTGTGTATACCAACGTTTTTTTTTTTTTATTTTTTATTTTTTTTTTTTATTGTTTTTTCTTCTTTCTTTTTTCATTACGTTAACAGGGAGATAGATTTCGACACTGGACTCTGCGTGGCTTGCACAACAGCTACCGGTTATTTTCGAAAACAAATTCTACTTTCTCTAACACATTTCCTACAACATAATTCAGATTTAACTAAAATACTTTGTAAAAGAAAAATAAATATCTGAATGGTCGTCATCGAATCGAAGTTTGGACAAATTGAACAATATTCGTTCGCATTATTAATAATCGCATCAATTACGTCAATATAGTAAAATATTTTAAAAAAATTAGATATAGATGGAAAAAAAACAAACAAAATAAAAAAAAAAAAAAACTAAAAATTACGGTGCATCCACGCTGAGTGCCGGGTCGCACACCGATTCGTTTCGTCGCGTCTGCATCATCAGTTGAGGCGAACTACTTGATCCTGAGCTAAAGTAGTAGTAGTAGTAGTTGGCGGTGGCATCGGCGACGACGGTGTCGGTCGGTCGACAGGGACCTCCCGGGGAATTGACATGGTCGGTGATAAGCGCGCGTCGCATCACACAATCTCAAGTGTTATTGCGTTGTACGTACTCGGAGTAGGAGATGGCTGCTGCTGCTGCCGTTACCGGAGCGCCAGCTGCAGTGTACTGGGCGTAGAGGTAGAACGCAGGGTGCAAGCCAGGTCCACCGCCGATGCCGACACTGCTGTTGCTGCCGCTGTCGAAGAACGGCTGCTGAGGCTGGTGCTGCTGGACCAGACCGGGCTCAGGCAAACGGGCGAGCGCTGCTGCTGCTGCTGCTGCTGCGGCTGCGGTTACTGTAGGTGGCAGGCACTAGTTAGTGCTCTGTGGGTGGAGCAGCGGTAAAGGCAACTGCAGGCTGTTCTGCTTTGCCAGGCTGGCTATCTCGGCGGCGATACCGACCTTGTCAAGGGTCGAGGGTCCCTCGGTGTAGCGCAGCTCGCAGACGGGACTCTCAAAGCCGGAACCTGGGGTGCCAGATTGGCCAGGGTGTCCGCTGGTTACCGACTGGGGCGTGCCGGGCTCGTGGTTGACCTGGGCGGATTGTTGCTGCTGAGCCGTGCCGCTTCCTCCTGGGTCGCGGTGCACACGGTTCTGGTGGCGGATGAGGTAGCTGTCGCGGACAAAGGTGCGACCGCAGATATTGCACTCGTAGGACGTGGTCGCGGTATGGGTGCGAATGTGGATGGCGAACTGGCTCTTGGAGGTGAAGCTCAAGGAGCAGCGCTCGCAGACGAGGGGCTTTTCAGCGACGTGGGACCAGCGGTGGGCCGTCACGTAGCTCTTGACGGCAAAGCGCTTGTTGCAAATGTCACACGAGTACGGCCGCTCACCCGTGTGGACGCGCTTGTGGGTATTGAGGCTACTCTTCTGGGTGAAGCGCTTCAGGCAGAGCTCGCACTGGAAGGGCCGTTCACCCGTGTGCGTGCGCATGTGCACCTCGAGGTAGGGCTTGCGACAGAAGCTCGCCTCGCACACGGTGCAGTGGTACGGCTTGTTGCCTGAGTGGAGCTTCATGTGTACGTAGTATGAGGACGCTGAGCTAAGAACCTTTCCACAAACTTTGCAGGGCTGAGGTTTGGCGCGACTACCCTCTTTTACGACGACGTGTTGTACTCGTTCCGGCGAGTCTTCGTGATCCATAGAACTATGCTCCTGCGATTGAATTTGCTGGTGCTGGGGATGAGCGTGCAATGACTGAAGATGGGCGGCTTCCTGCTGGGAAAGCTCCTCACGATCGTCGGACAGGTTAACAATCGAGTTTGATCCGTCCGAGCGACTAGATGCGACAGAATAAAAGCCCATAGGCTCAGTCTTGACTTGGTGCTCGAACATGGACGTCATGTCCGGGTGAGGGTGTAGGTGGTGGTGATGCTGCTGTGACTGCGATTGCGAGGGCGGCGGCGGCGGCGGCGGCGGTGGCAACGGGTGTCCTCTATGCTGAGCCGGATGAACCTGGTGCTGGTGCAGAACCTGGGTCGCCTGCTGGTTTGGGAGCAGAGTCAGGTTGCGCTTGACAAACTGCTCATATCCCGCGTACCAATCCACCTGTACGTCACCGACAACGGCGACAACAAAACACAATAGCTGCGTTAGATACATCGGGCATACGTGCACATATATTATACATATATATATATATAGCTCATGCATATACATCATGTGTGTTTATACGGAGAGCACGCGCGCGCGCGCGAGCGCGTGTATTTAATATAAATATAAATATAATGTNGGTAGTAGTATAAGTGTATAAGTCCACACAACGACGGGTATAGCTATAATGTGTGTGTGTGTGTGTGTGTACCTTTTACACCCGACTCGACCCGACTACCCGAGGAAATATATATATATAGCTCATGCATATACATCATGTGTGTTTATACGGAGAGCACGCGCGCGCGCGCGAGCGCGTGTATTTAATATAAATATAAATATAATGTACGATACACATCATATAGGGAAGGCGAAAAGCGCGGCAAGCGAAGGCAGGCAAGGCAAGACGGGCAGACAGACAGGCGGCTGTAGTGGCGGCGGCAGCAGCAGCAGGTCAGGTTAGAGACGAGCGGCTTCGGCGAGTGACCGTCGTCCGAGTCTGCTGCTGCTTCCGTCGATGGCCAGGGGCGTAGCGGGGATAGGGTTTATTTTTGACAAGTGTCAGAGAGTGAGCCTGGTTGGCTGATCAGCTGATTGCATAACGCTCTTGGGCCGAGGACGAGAGAGAGAGAGAGAGCAGGGCCGGGATCTCTTTGTCACCTCTCGACGGTTCATCGCTGCATCAACCTTACCGTCGAGTCGAGCGCCCGCGCGGAGCATCAGCTCGGTGGGGAGGGGAGCCGGGGCGGCGGCGACGAGGACCGGCAGCGGGGCCCTCCTGTGGCAGCAAACTCACGAGAGACACAGGGAGAGATATCAACGCTGGGCTGGAGGTAAAAACTCCAAGAGCTGGGCAGCACCGTCGAGGCCACTATCGCTGGGTCTATACACTCAAGGTACGTTAGGTACTGATCGGGTGCGGGAGGAGGGGGCGAGGGGGGGGGAGGGAAGTGACGCGAGAGGAGGGCCGTTGGTGCTGCTGGGGGAGGGCCTGCCCGACGAAAGCGGGCTTGGGGGACTAGCTGCTGCACTAACCTTTGCTGATGTAGTGGTCCTGGCTCGTGGGGAAAAAACTGCTGCATGCGGAGCCCAGGGCTCGCGTCGCCACGAGGTCGTTCAGACGGGCTGCGAGGGTCGGGCGCAGGCCATCGCGGTTGAGGAAACTGCTCGGCCTCGCGGTCGACTCTGTTTTTCTCTCTTAAGGCAAAATATAAGATGGCTGCGCTACTATATCTGTGGAGCCGCGAGACCTCTGTCGGCGCCTTTGGCGGTCACACGGCGGCCCCCGCGATCGCGCCGTGCTTTCCGAAGCTCCGAACAGTCCGAACTGCTGTCTGACGACGCTATACCTATTGCTTCTGAGCAGCCATGTATAACTATACAACGTGTACGTGTATACATCTAAGTAACTATCCGCGAAGAAGAAACGAGCAGGAATCCGAAGGAACGAGCCAACAGAGCCTCACTCTCTCTCTCTCTCTCTCTCTCCGACTCCGACCATCTAAAGATAGATATATATTATAGGAGGATTTTGTGCGTACTTACCTATCTACTAGAGAGCTGATGCATGTGCAGCTGCAGCCGCGGGTCGTCCGTCCTTTGGTTCCCAGTTCCGCTGTTTATTATCTTTGTTTTTTGATCGCGCTGTCTCCCTCTCTTTCTTCCTCTCCCTCGTACTGCACTGCCTGCTACTCTGCTAGTGCCGCTGCTCGCTAGCCGTGTATTAACTCTCCAATGCTCCGATTACAGATGCAATGGTAGGATGTATAGGATAGCGACTTTGGAAGAAGCGGCTTGGAAATTCGATTACAATGCCTCACCTTGGCGCTGCACTCCGTGAAAATGCCTCGAACTTTCAGCGTTTTCGCACGGAGATAGGTACTGCTAAGTGCCCAGCACACGTTGGTGGAGTAATGAATTTGAAGCACTGGGGGAAAGAGAGAGAGAGAGAGAAAAAAAATGGTATAATTATAATAACTTGCACGTCCACGATAATTATGAAGTACCGAGAATTCGAGTAGAAAAGTAAAAAAAAGTAACCACAATCTCAACACAAACCTTAATGTATACAGCACCGGGCAAGACGACGATGATGGTTACAACAATACGAACTTCAAAATAGTGCTCTCTCTCGGCTCGTCTCGCTCACGTGTACACGATACATACGTGCATATGTATATACATGTGGCTATAATATATATATTATATATGCGTATATATATATGTAATATATATATTACATATATGTATATAATGACGTGAATAGTAAAGCAACAGCTATATAATATATAAGTTCAAGTACAAAGGAAAAAGACGGAGCTAGAAGGTATAGCGGCGACGAGGAGAGCAGAGCTAGAGCGGCGGCCACAGTGCCACAGTGGGAGCAAGAGAGAACGGAAGTAACAAAACCCCAACGCGGTAAAGACGGAGGTGACGTTCGTTGAGCTTGGTGATGCGATCTACTGGTGATGGCGTTGGCCGAGCAAGACAGAAATAGAAGGGAAAAGAGGAAGGGAATGTTTAGCTAGCGCGAGAAGCCGACTCTCGGAGCCGAGAGGTAGTAGTATAAGTGTATAAGTCCACACAACGACGGGTATAGCTATAATGTGTGTGTGTGTGTGTGTGTACCTTTTACACCCGACTCGACCCGACTACCCGAGGAACCAAGGGAGACTATATACGTATATAAGCGATGCGATGCGTAAGAAAACAAGAACTCGTTGCTGCCGCGCACCTATTTTGGCTCGACCAATCACGGGCTCTTTACCGTGTTGTAAATGCCAGCCACCGCCATACTGTACGACCAACCAATTGGCTCCTCTCGTCGGAGTGTCCGGCGCATTTGTCAAATTCTTTTCTTTCTTTTTTTTTTTTTTTTTTTCTTTACACAAATACCAAGGACTCAATATGGAGGAAGCAGAATGAGATTGCCCGGAAAGGCCAAATATTAAAGCTGCGACCGAACCTTACACGTACTTGTTCGCTCATTTTTATTATTTACTTGTAAAAACATACATGTTGCTCCGTGCATTTATTCACGCTCGATCTAATGGGAGGTGTCTCTCTTTTTCCCTCTATCTCTCTTCCTCTCCTTCTTTCTTTCTACCGCACGTATTAATGCATGTATATATGTGGTATACCCACCCTCTTTTTCTTTTTCGCTGCTTTTATCACCCTTCCCCTCTCGCCGTCAGCGCCGCAAGCCGCAAAATCGACATATTTATTCGACGTGCATGTGCGAAAAGAGAAAGCTAAATTTCGGAGTCGGCACCTGAACGCGACGTTTTACTCCGAGTTACTGATTAAGTATCAGCTTTGTTTTGTGCTTTTTTTGTTTCCCTGTGTGACGCCATTGTCCGTTGAGTACTTAATTAGGTTTCTAAATATTCCATCTAGGTAAGTCTATTTTTTTTCTACCGGAAAAAATTTGTTCGAATCGATTTTGCGCTATTCTTTGCTTTGAAACTTTTTTTTTCGCCGTTTGGGCTCGCAAAAAAAAAAAAAAAAAAAAAAAGAACGTTGAAATTATGGTTAGCTCCGGTTTAATTGGCGTTTATGTCAAAAAATACTTAGTCATTTTTCGGGTTTAGCGTATAGTTACTTGATTATTTTCGTGGAAAAAGTTAAAAGACAAAAGATATACTTATTATGTATTTAAAATTTTACAGATTCACGGAATTGGCTTATATCCTTGTCAACATAAACATATCGCTCAAAAGGTTAAACATCGTTATTGCTATATTCAAGTGTTAACACGATATTTGTAGCTGCTATTAAAATATGTGTCCTACAAAACTTTTCAATGTAAACTCAACGGAAATCAATAAAGATGAGTAATGCATACAGAGGTAGAAATTACCATTCAAGTGCTCCAGCGGCGTTTAAAGCTCGTATGCAGGAAGGAGGAATGAACTATCAAATGCACAATCCGAGAAACTATTCTACAAACATTCCAGTAAGTATTCTATACATCTAAAAAAAATTTGATATTCTATAACTATTCAACCAACTATTTTTACTCAAATGCAGGAAAGAATTAATTATCCTGTGAGAACTATGTCGAATACTATACAAGTGCAAGGACCAATGGTCCATCCTTCAACTAATAATTCGTTAACTACTGCTGGAACCAATAATGTCAAAGAAATTAACAATTTAAAAAAATCCCTAGTCAGGTGCCAGGACTGTAATCTTGATTTTACTAGCCAGGTTGTACTCGATGCACATCTTCAGGGAGCTCGACATGCCAAACAAGTATTTCTCTGCTTGATGCTTACTTTTGTTTATACAGAACTTCACATTTTATTGAATATAATTATTTATAGATGAAGTCAAAAAATATCCTGGAAACTTTACGAGAGACAAATGTACCATTTAGTAAAGAGGAAGATGCAAATGGACTTAAATGTAATGTTTGTAGTGTTTATTTGAATTCGCTACAACAACTTCAGACTCATTTAAATGGTAAGATACTATGGATAAATTTTTTCATGGATTAAAAGTCTAATGATGTGCACTACTTTATTTATTGCTAAAGAAATGTAGTTTCTTTCTGATTGGGTTTGAGTAGTTATAAATGAAGATGAAAACATATTTTTTCTTTTGTTACAGGGAATCGTCACCAAAAAAAGATGTCAAAAGGTAATAAGACTAGGACTGCTAGATATGCAAATTCGCATGATTTAAGGCGTGGCACAATGTTCTTAAATAAGCTTGTTAGGAAAAATCTTGTTGCGCTTATCTTTTTTCTAGCACTCTTTACTTTTATATGTTTTCTCCTTTTTTTGACTTTCATATTTCACGTGTTTAAATAATTATTTTTTTTTACTTTTTGTTCCATTTCATCGCATGATGTTGTTGATTGTTTATTGTTTATCGTATATTTTCTATGTTATAGTTTCAATCGTGTTATTTATTATTAATTGTGAATTCAAACTGTTCGTTTTGGATTTTCTTTATAATTTCTAAAACATTAGAAACTGTTGTGAATTAAAATAATGAGGTAATTAAAATATTTCAAAACTCGACTATCTTGTTCATAGTAAAAAAAAAATTTGTAATATTTTTTTTATTTTGCTATTGATAAATTACATATCTGCGAAAAATAAAGTAAAGCATACAATGAGTGAGCCAGTATATGATGCTGCTTAAAAATTATTTATTTTTTTTTTTTTTTGCTATCCTTCACAAATGACTACGCTAACACCATTAAATACCTCGTTAAATCTATACAACTTTTGCACAATATATGACATGGTTTATACAAGCCGTTTATTTCTATCATGGCCATTGATGTAGTGTTCAAACTCATTTATTATCACATAAAAGCTCTTGCAAAGGTGATAAATAGATAGTCTTGATCTTACATTGACGCCTCTAGGTGACTGGAACGGCAAGAATGTAATATCAAAGGCAAACGTGGCTGAAATACCTGCTGAATGCTTACCACGACCGGCGGAAAAGAACGTGCTGCTCTCATGTAAATCCTGTAATAAATTCTTCAACTCCAGTTTGCAATTGAATGAGGTGAGAATTATTTTATTCCTAATTTTTTTCACACATCAGGCGTTGACTTGTAATTGTAGTAATTCACTAAGAGTATTTTTATATTTGGAAAGTGTTATTGAACTACTTTTAAAGTGTTTTTTTTTTTTTTTTTTTTTTTCTCCAAGTTTAACATTTTTTATCAACTTTTCGTTATTTCCAGCATCTAACATCTCAAAAGCATCTAGATAGACTTGCTGGTCGCAAAAGCGAGAAAACTAAACGATTTTCTCCTTACTACAAAGAAAGGGTAAACAATTACGGTCATCAACCCCTGACAAATAACTTTATTTCCGGTGGATGGAATTAAGCACGATTCAAGATCAATAAACTGTTAATAAAAAAAATTAGAGTATTATTCTTAATGTATTTAATTGCATTCAAACTAGTCGTAATTTTTTTCAATCAGTATGTTAAGATTGCATCTTTAATTGTTTCACACCTATGTTCAATGATTTTCTCTAATGTATAAGTACTTGTTGAGAAATAAATTTATTTGAATGCATATAGTTTTGATTATTTTTTTTTTTCCAATCAGAAATTGATGTATTTAAAACTAGCATTTTGAATATTTAGCTGATTTTATTTGTAGTGCAGATAAGCCATCGTCGATCTAAAAAAAAAATTACATATTTATAAAAACTAATAGTAAGCACAATTACATGTCTTCAATTTACTAACACTTTTTGTGTGTGATTCCAAAAGCCGTTGGAGCTCTGAATTATGTTTTTCCAAACTGTCTATTTCGTTGCACAGCTTGTGTCTTTCTCTCAAAACCTCATAATACTTATTCAGTCCCACAAGTATTGCGTCCCATAGTTTTTCCTTGTGCGGGCCGAATATATCTTGATAACAAGACCAGAAGTAATTGACGTCTTCAGGCGACACATTTCGTGAAATAGTGTATTTCTTTTCCTTAACCCTTTCTTCCAACGAAAGCGTTTCCTTCTGCTCGGCAATACTCAATTTCTTCACAACTTCTTTCAACGCCTTTGTGACATGAGCTGCGTGTACATCAAGAACATGCCCTCTGTCGCACGTGTATTTTCTCGTCACTGATCTCCTCGAAGACAAGCTCTCGGATTTTGATTCGTACTCTAGAAAAACATGATTAAATTACGATATGAAGAGCCCCAACTCTTACCCCAAATCAAATACCTACCTTCCATACCTAATACTTCTGAACGCGACCTATCGAGCGAGGAAGACCTTCCTTCGGATATCTTCATGTTTTGACGATTCACCTCAACTTCCTCTTTTATGCTGTCTATCAGTTTCTGTATTTTCTCGTCCTTGCAACCTTCGCAAGTTTTTGCACAAGTGTCGCTTGGCGTGGAACACTTGGTTAAATTTTCCGAACTCGCGTTCCCTGCGGCAATGCATATCGAGCAGAACGTGTACGGCATAAAAACGTCAACGAGAACGTTCATCTCTTGGGGTGAAGCGATTGACAGGGCCTGAAAATTGTTTTCGTGATTAAAAAAAATTACAGGATGAATCCGGAAAGTGTAAGGTATCATTGTATACGTCGAAAATGCTGTCCAGGCTAATGATGGTCTTCTCTTCGTCACTGAAGTCGGATATTAACTTTTTTAATTTATCTTCAACCAAAAATCTCGAAGTTTTTGTAATTTTCTTCAATATATTGTGAATCACTTCTCTTTCCAATTTTTCTTCCAAAGGTGATTTGTTTGCTTTGTCATACGGACAAATGTTGTATCTATCCATGTCCTCTTGTTTTTCTGTTTATAAGAGTTAGCAAATCCATAAAAATTACCAATTAAAATTAAATAATTGCTTCGACCAAAGATTGATGTGTTTACTTTTTTGAATGTAATTAATTGCTGCACGATAAGATGGCAGGTCCTCCTTTCTCGGCAAATCGTTTTGCGGTGGGTCCCACAGTATCCCTAAGATGCTCTCGTGAATCGATTCGTCGGCTTCTAAGATCTACACTAATAAAACTTTTTTGTACTACATAAATATTGGCCGATAAAAAGAAATTCACCAATTATACGACCTTTTTCACCAAATTGTTGGCAGTCTCCATATTCATGTCCCAAACGTCAAAGTACTTTTTTTCGTTGACCTGCGAAAACTGAGCCAACTTGTCCTCCATGTCCACTATCTTGTTATGCGTTTTCAAAATGTCGCTGGATAATTTTTCCGTTTCCGCTTTTGACTTTTCCTGCAAATCGGCGTAATTTTTCCGCAAATCACCGAGGAGCGCTTGAAGTCTGAAAAAAAAAAAAAAAAAAAAAAAAAAGATCTTCAGATAAAAATTTTAAAGGGTTGTTAAACTTTAAAAGACAAAAAAAAAAAAAAAAAAAAAAGATCTTCAGATAAATACACAGACGACACCCAAGTCAAACATACCGATTGATCTTTCTCTTCTGCTGGGTTTTAATAATAGCGTTTTCTTCCTCGCGATTTTTCAATATCGTATAATTATAAGTCAACTTTTCCGTGTTCAATTGGCAGTGGGCCTTGGTCTTCTCGAGCTGCTGCTCCATGGCTTGACACTCCTTTTCCAAGCCGATCTTTTGCGCCCTGTACTCCTCCTCGTGCCTCCTCATGACTTGCTCCAACTGGTCCTCGTACTCCTTCATGATTTTCTCCCTCCTCTCGTTGCCAATGTCGTCCTCCTCTTCCTGCTGCTTGTAAAGGGCATCCCACTTACTCCGGAAACTCTCGACCAAAGTATCGCTGTCCACTTTCATCATCTTCTTTATCAGATCGAGCTCTTGCGTGTAATAGTTCTCCATACTACTCATCTAGCCGACAAATAAAAAATACAGCAAGTCTGATTTCCTATGTTTTTCCGACGAAAAGAAGAGAAAAAAAAAAAAAAAAAAAAAAAACCTGATTTTCAATTCTCTCGATCAACAGTCTGATGTCGTCCTTCTGCTTGGCCTGGTCGTCAAAGTACTCCCGGTCGATCCTCTCCAGCTCGAGTTTCAGATCCTCGATGATCGCGTCCTTCTGCGCCAGGACCATCTCGCCCTTTTTCCGCTGCCACTCCATCTCCTCGTGGATGACGAGCGGATCGTTGGACCGAAGAATCGACATCCACTGGTCGTTGATGAGGTCGTACTGATCCTTGCAGAGTCTCGCATTTTTGTCGAGGCTGTCGAGAAATTGTTTGCGGATCTCGCTCGATTTTATACGGCGCTCCAACTCCCGGGCGTCGTTGGCTACTCTCACGTTGGATATCTGTTTTTTTTTTTTTTTTTTTTTTTTTTTTTTAGATCAGATACTATTAAGTATGCTGTAAATTGTTGATGGACTCACGACTTCGTTTCCTTCCTCGATCAGTTTCTCCAAAAGCTCTTCGCTGGCGATTATCTGCTTTTCGGTGAGACTCTCCTTGACAGCTTCGCCGTGATCTTCCGCCTCCGGTCTATCAGTATACAATAAATAAAGCGAATTAATTACCATTAGTTCAAATAACGATGAATTTAAGGGTAAAAATGTTGCCGGAGAGAGTTACTTTTGCGAAGCTTCAGCTCGGCTTTGAGTTCGCAAGCGTCGGGCAAGTTTTCGCTCGTTGGGGTCGGCGGACTGCAGAGATGGCTCGTCATTGTCCGAAAAATCTTTGTCGAGTTGACTTGTCTTGGATAACATCGCCGACGCTCCAATCATTGATTCTTTTAATAAATTTCGTGTATTACTTGGCTTATTGAGATGTATTTAGAAAAAAATATATACTGTTAATTGGAGTAACCAGTGGTAACCAAATGTTTCCGCGCTCGAGTCGATCGTTGAATCTGCTTTGCCCGAGATCGGTATTATCGGTAACTGCATGGTGTAGAACGATAGGATGACGCTAGATGCCACGCCAAGGGCAATTTTTTTGATTCGACCAGTTGCTTTTCAAAATCTTAATAGCACACGTGATTGCGAGGTTTACGTTTTGAAAAGTTACTCTGGCTTTGTTGAAAATAGCTATAATTGCTAAGATTTCTCAGTGTGTAGGTACAGGTCAGTATGTAGATGATCCACATCCAGAGGTTCAAACCGGTCGGTATCGCCAACTGTCGTAAATAATTTTTTTTTTTTTGCAAATTTTGTTACAGCAAAAAAAAAATGATTAAAAAAACGTGAAACATTTTGATGTTCGACTCCAACCATGCAAATTTTATTTGCAGATTTCGCGTGAATTCCTGAATTGTGTTTTTCCACGTCTGTCACCGGTCGATCGTAAAGTTAACGCGCTAAATTATTTTGTACCGTTAATCGGAACATCGACAGCCTAAATCTGACGGTTTCAGCTATTGCGATGACACGTATTACATACGACATTGTGGAGAAAAGGAGGATACGCACTACTTTCGCGGGTAGGTATGTATGTACTCAATTTTTTCTCTGTTTAATGTCTCTATTGTGTCGTTCTTCGTTTCATTTAATTCCGCGTAACGATTTCGAGTTTATTTATCAACTTTCTTTGATGTAATTTACGTAGGATATACTTACTTATTTACACTTGTACCCATATTTAAAAGTAAATTGTGAAATTCATTTTCGAAGAAGACAAAACTTTCTCATAAGTATATACCCTGACTTATGCTTATGGTGTATATATGTATATGATTCCTAATAAAGACATGAGCTGAACATATTTCGAACGACAATCGTGGATAGTAGATAAATGCGATATTTTTATTGTAGAAGTACAGACAATAGTATTTTATAATTTAAATTGTTTTGACATGAAATAAAAAAAAAAAAAAAAAAAAAAAAAAAATGATGGACTTGAAGAGCGGAAAATTATTCTTTATGTATTTAAGGTATTTTGTTTTGCGCGGACAAATAAAAATGATTCCTGTCAAAAAGAAAAGGCGAAAAAATGATTGAAATTTTCCACTAGCAGTAATACAGCAGTAATACAGCGACCACCGGCGATAAACTCATGTGCATATTATGGAAGTGTACTATAATAGGAAGAGCGCGGAGCTGTTTTAATATTAAAATTAGATTTAGAATATGAAGTCTGAGAGAATAAAAAGAGAAAGATCGAACTGGCTGAGTGCACGTACAGCACCTATAGGTTCTGGTAAGCGGAGCTCTCTCGTTCGACCCGCCCCTCCCCCCTCACTCCCCACTACTACGTCGCTGCTATATATATGCTGTTCAGAGGCTTGCGCGCGCGCTTATTTGATTCAGCCACGAGTCCCATGAGCCAATGAGTGCGAGCAAGAGGGACATGTAGCTGCTATCTCCCTCGCTCCATGTGCCCCCTTTCTTTTTCCCCTCACCGCGCCAGCCCCTCTTTCCGAAACTTCTCCTTCTTTCTTGCAGCGCACGAGAGCTCTCTGCATGGCCAGCCGAACGAACAACCGTCGCTGCGCGCTATTTTCCATCCTTTTCCTCAGTTTGTTTCTCCTGCCGCCCCCCCCACTCTTTGTGCTATCCTCTTCCATCCCACACTGCTCTCCTTTTTTCTTTTCTGTTTCTTTTTTTTTCAGCTTTTTTTGTGTTATATGTATACCGCTGCAGTTTCGATTTTCCATTCCCATTCTCCGCTCTGCTCTGCTTGTCTTCTCTCTATCCATCCATCCTCACGCGATCCCCCCTCCCCCGGCTCGATTCAATTTGTTTATTTTGTTCAGTTCATTTCTCCCGTTGGTCGTCGTCTTTCTCTCTCTCTCTCTTGCCTCCTTTATATTTTTCAATTCGTTCTTCGCCTCCACACGCGTGACTCTCCTCTCCCTGTTGCCAACCCTTTTTCTTTTCCTCCTCCCCGCCCTTCCACGGGCGTAAACCTACACTCCCTCTATCTCTGTATTTTTTTTTTTTTTTTTTTCATGACTTTCTTCTTTCTCTATTTTATATATTATGTACCTATACACGTCGCGATATCGGGTTTTTTCCACGATTCGCTGCAGACCCTCTCGCGATTTGTAACATTTTGCCACGCTCCCGTTCGACTGGCGATTTTTTTTAACAACTTCTACGAATAACAACCAAAATTACAGAAATATATATGTATATTACATGGGGTTTCGTAACAACATGCAATAGGTCCTAATGACGTTTGTAACTTTTTTTTGTACAACGTGCATTTGAAACGCGTAACAAGATATGTATGATCAAAGAAGCTGAATAATGCCAAGTTGCTTTTTTTTCTTTCCATCCGTCTATGGGTAACGGAGCCGCAACGTTTATTTCTCTTTTACGTCCCGTTGCTTCCTGTACTTGAAAACTTTTTTGGCTGCATTTCATCGAATACCGGCTGTATATTTTCTCGAGTACATTCATTATAATTACATTATGTGCGCGCAAGCAGCAACGCTCCACCCGTTTTATAAATAAATATAAAACACCAGACCTTTTCCGTACCAATACGTTTGCTTTTCTAAAATACTTGCATCTGGAATTTTTTTCTTTCCATTCCTCTCATCCGCACAGCACCCTATGCATACAATCTTGCACGAGCCACATTTTTTCGATTTCTCGAACACTTCATGTCTGGCTGCGCTCATCCGTGCTTACGTAAGAGAAAAAATAAGCCATACCTTATGAGTATAGAAACAAAATTTCTCGTCTAAATTAATCTTACGTATTTTTACATTCATGTACGTATCTAGCGTATGTTATATCTTACGTCTACTCTATGTACTATCATACAATGCTTATCATACATGCTCATGTTGCTCCAAAAGAAAAGAGAGAGAGGGAAACAGCTCGATACAGATATAAAGCAGCATAGCCACCACTCCGCTTTGCTGCTGGTGCTCAGCAGACACAGGCCTGTAGCTGTAAATTGGAAAGCCCCGACCTCGTTCACGGCAACATGCAAGTTTTCCCTTGCAACGTTGTTTCAATTTTCAGTAATCACACGACACAAACACTCCTGAAGATTTTATTAACAGTGTCCGAAGTCATGGATTCTTGGTTCAATCAGAAGCAGTGCCAAAATTTTTCGAAAAAAATTGGTCCCACGGGAGTTGTTAAAGTCAGAGATTCCCGGTTTGCCGGTACACGCCCCTGTAGTTGGCGTCGACGGCGGCGGCGATATCTCTCCCTCTCCCCGAGAGAACAGGGCTCTATTGCTCTACACTCGTGTATCCCCCACCCCTAAACACTCTATATGGCAGCGGCGACGGCGGCTCGACGGCGGCTCGGCCGCTAGGGCCAACGTAGCGGCAGCACGGCGGCAGCAGCAGCTCCGCTCCCGCCGTCCCGCCACGGTGACGTCACTATGTGTAGTGTAGTGCAGTGAGCAAGAGCAAAGCCGAGCTCCGTCGTCGTCGTCGTCGGCCCAAAGTACATATATATACATATACACAAGCAGCGCGGTCCAAAGGCCGAGAAAAGTGTGGCGATAGCAGCAAGTCGTGCGTGTTTTTTGGTGTGCATCGTCGCCGACCCTCGGTTATACGAAAGGTTATATATAAGAGCGCGCGCGCGCAGAGCCAAGTGCTAGCGAGTCCGAGGCGTGGCTGTGTGTGCAGTGTGTCTCGACTGTGCACTATTGCTGTGCCAGAGGAAGAGAGAAAGAGAGGGAGAGCGCGCGCGAGGAGTGCAGAGGCGGCCGGAGGAGGAAAGTACTCCTCTCCTTCGAGAGCAAAGTTGCCAGCTTGCGCTGTGTGTTTCTTTTTCATTGGTGGTTTACGCATTGGTGAGTGTCGCATTGTGCACGTAAAAAGTTGTGAAAAAAAAAAAAAAAA